AAATCTATTTTGTGTAGCAAATGAAAAAGACGTTTATCGATGGGGTGGGCGCAAAGACGACAAAAAATATCATTAAAAATGGACAGCTTATTATTAGCCTCTAGATTTCAGCCTCATGATATGATAGCAAGCGGTGAAACTGCTGGCTGATACGCCGAGGTATGTCAGACAGAGAGTGGGAAAATGGCTTTGTTCAGCTGTACCAACTAAAACGACATACAGTAAGCCGACAAGCAAAGGGAGCATGCGAAGGATGTATCATGAATTGTGTAGTCTTGTTGATAAAGCAAGAAACTGATAGAGAACAAGTAACGGTGACACCGAGAATATGGAGGTATTCAAACAGCCTGACCAAGGGCTCAGGTGTCTGGTAGAAACCTAAACGCCCAGTGCAATAAAAAACACACTAGTCGTATTAGAAAGAAATTTTAAATTAAATAGGTACGAGAAGATGGAGGTATGAGCATCGTAAAGGTAAAACTGGAGTGAAAAGAAGACCTAAGGACGCGGTGGTAGCAATCCGAAATGCAGAAAGGCGAATTCTTGTAATCTGGTAAGATGCATGCTACGGTGTGCCCACAAACCTTCATGAAAGGGCTGGAACCAATGCTACTTTTGACGGAGAGACCACCAATGATGTCATCAGTAAAGTTAACGCGGACAAACACTGGACAAAATCATATATCTGATGAAAAAAAAGTGGAGGGAGGTAATAGTAACATCTGCAAGTGCTAGGGAGAAGCAAAGGCATGTGGTTGAAGAAGTAGACTCAAAGAGTGTCAACCGTAAGCGTAGCGGGACTCCAGTTAAAAAACCACGTTCTAAGAAGCAATCAAGCAATACAAATACATTAGCACAGGGGATACTGCCTAGGATATTTGCAGTTTATTGAGCCACTACAGCAAAAAATGAAGCTCCATGTTAGACTTAATAGGACACATGTAACAGCTCGAGAAAGAAAGATAATGACTTGATTGTGTTCAGGCTAAATCGTGTAAAGTATTTAAGAAAAACGGATAGACGAGCTACTAACCAGACTGATATAAGAACGTAATTACTATTTTTTCAGGAAAAGTGATTCTGACTGGACGCCCGCTATGAGGTTCCTCGACAGGCCAGCTAACTAGATGATTAAATATCTGGAAATGGGCTAAAAGAACGGAACTCGTGCAGTGTTGAGACACTATCAGATCGAAAGATTACTAAATAATTAGTGTTTTTGAAGAAACTCTGCATCTAGAGTCACTGACACCAAACGGAAGGCCGTTATGTCAGCTGGAAGAAAATCGGACTCACTGGCAAACAAAGCCATTGGGCTCAGTAAAATTATATCTGTGCTAATTGACATGAGTTATTGCGATTTTTTGGTCAATAACATTTTGATATATGTTTTACATAGCGTACTTAATTTCATTCTCGCCAGCAGACTACAATTAAGGCGATTGTCGGGTTAGAAGACATGCGTAATCCCAGAGAGTCGAATAACGTTAGCAAACGGCGCTGCGCAGTCTAGTTCTGGAGTCCGAGGTCCCGATGAACAGCTAGAAGATAAATTAATTTACATACTGAAGACACCTTCAATCTTTATCTATGATTTGACTAATATTCCGGAAGCAGGTGGTCAGAGCATTCTCGAGAAATCATCCGCGTACATTAAGTGAAGCAAACATCTGCCGCTGTATAGCGCCGCTGCGCGGTGGAATCTTCAGCGACCTGGTGACCAAAACCAGCTATCAAAGCCACCATACGTACGCGGGAGTGTCTCACCGGCGACTTTCTACTATGGCTGTTAAGAGAAGGTTAATGCGCCCCGCTTTGTTTAGTAGGCAGCCGTATGAAAAGCATGATAATTCTGGTGAGCTTTACATCTTTCACTGTTGGTTACGTTGACAAGGATAATTCACGATTGCATGCTATCCGTAAGAATGTAGCGAGTAATTCTACGTGAAAGTACATTGTGATTGTGAAAGGACTCCACAGTACCTAAGAAACTTTTCAGTCGACTGCACAAACTATGAGAGTTCATAAAATTCGTTCTATCCTAAGGATTACATAAAGGCCTCATCGAAGCGATCGAGCTCACTGTCTGTGACCATGAATTGCGATTCATGAACTTTACCTTAATTATTGGCCCCGACTTTGTATTTTTTAAAACTGCCAGCTGTCCTTCATATATGTACTTTGCCCCAAGTTCACCGGCATGGTCAACCCTGATTAGCCGATCCAAGAGAGCCTTTGTCCTCGACGAGGCTGGACGGGTCATCACTGCGCAACCCCG